CTGTTACAGTATTTCTGTCCCAGGTTGGAAGTTACTGTATCAATGACCCTGGTGTTCTACACCAAGGGCTCCGTGACTTTGGGGGACTCTCTTGCTGCACTAATCTTAAGAATCCTCTTTTTGTAAATTTATTTTAAATAGAAAAACAACAATAAAACAGTTTCAAAACAGGTTAGTAGGGGAGTTACAATAGTTAATGCATTGCATATTGTTTTCTTTGTAGTTGTTATTCAGAGTATGAGCTATGATACCTTGTCCAAACAATATTAACACAAATTTTTTTTTCAATGAACTAAGAGAAACTACCTGTATAACTAGCTTAACTATCTTGTATATAAACATATATTTTTCTTTTTCCCTTCTTTCCTTTCCTTTTTTCTCCATCACAGTTTGTTTTTTCTTTTGAACAGTTTCTCCTCAATTCACAATATCTATTGTACCTTTTGGATCTTATTTATTCTTTCAACTTCTCAGACTAGGGAGACAATATGATGTTTACACATATGGGTCAAATTTATTCACTTATGAGTATGGTCCCAAGTTGCATCCATTTACTTATAAAAGTCTCAAGTTTATCTTTTTTATGGGTGAGTAGTACTCCATTCTGTAAAAATACCACATCTTTTTTATCCATTCCTCAGTTGATGGGCATTTGGGTTGTTTCCAGACTTAGCTATTACAAATTGTGCTGCTATAAACATGGGTGCACATATATCACTGTGGTATGATGTTTTTAATTCTTCTGGGAACATATCCAAAAGGAGAATATCTAGGACTGCTAATCCTAGTTTTTAAAGGAATCTCTGATTTTCACTGATTTTCACAGTGGTTGTACCAATCTACACTCCCATCAACAGTGGAGAAGGGTTCCATCTTCCCCACTGCCCCACTACCATTTGTTATTGATTTTCTGATGATACCCATTGTTTCTGGGGTGAGATGGAATCTCAGTGTTGTTTTAATTTGCATCTCTTAAATGACTAATGATGTTGAACATTTTTCATGTATTTATTTGCCATTTGTATTTCTTCATCTGAAAAGTGTGTACTCATCTCAGATGCCCATTTTTGGATTGAGTCTTTGAATTTGGGGGATCTGATTTTTTTCAGTTTTTTTATGTTCTAGATAGAAGTCCTTTGTCTGAGGGACAACTGGCTAAAATTTTTTCCCACTCTGGGTTGTCTTTTCATTCTATTAGAGATTTCTTTTGTTGTGCAAAAGTTTATTAATAAGGTGAGATCCCATTTCTTGAGTCTTTGTAATATTTCCCTTGCAATCTGGGTTTTGTTCATGAAATCTGAGTCTTCATTTTGTTGTTTTTGTTTTTGTTTCTGAGTAGTGGGAATTGATCGCAGGGCCCACACCATACTAGGCAGTACTCCACCACTGAGCTACATGACCATCCCCTTTTTATTTTATTTTGAGGCAGGGTCTCACTAAGTTGCACAGGCTGGCCTTGAACTTGTGATCTTCCTGCTTCAGCGTCCAGAGTGGCTGGGATTAGAGGTGTGTGTCACAAGGTCCAGTTCAAGAGCCCTTGTTTTAGAAGGCAGAGGTGGAGGTGGCAAAGGAATGCTGCAGAGACAGGCGTGGGGGTCAAATCCCAGCCTTGCTGCTTGCGCAGTCACAGATGAGCTTGTTCACCTTGCTGAGCCTTGGCTGAATTCATAGATAAAACATGAACAGTGTCCTCTACCGCAGGGCTACTGGGAAGGTAAAGGGGTAGCTGTAAAACTGCCTGGTGTTTAATGAGGGTAGCTCAGGATCGCTTCCTTGAGCAGCCCCGCACTGTACATTTGTGACACCGTGTGCAGTGCAGTCCCTGTGCTGGGAGTCGGAGACGGAGGTCAATCAGACCTGGAGGTCATCACCAGGGCGCATAACTCTGCAGTGCGATCTAAAGGTTGGGGGACTCTTGCAGGTGAGGACGGGACGGGGAGGGCCGTGGAGAGGAACACGGACGGGCAGGGCCCGCCAGAGCAATGCTGCCCCTTTCCAAGGGTCCTGACCACCACCTCACTCACACACCCTGCACAGCTCTTCAAGAATGCTAGGCTCAAGCACCTTGCTATTCCACACTTCTACCCTGTTTAATCCCCTCACAGGCCTGTACGACTTCCCACTTTGCAAGTGGGAAAACTGAGGTCACAGTTAGGACTGGCCCGGGTCCAACCAGCGTCTGTCTATTCTGGTTCAGTTTTATTTTGGTTGGCAGAAAAGCAGTATCTCGATCAGCGTGGGCTCGGCGGCCGACAGACTGGGGTCGACCCCGGATGCCCCTGCTGACATCCCGCGTCTTCTCTCCTCAAGCCCTACACCCGCTCCCTGGGTCCCCGCCTCCTCCGCCTGCCGCGCAGTGGCCACGGCTACTGCCCGCCTCCTGCCTGTTCCTGTCGTACACCCACTTTTCTCTGTCTCTACCAAACCATCCCCATACGTGCATTAAAGGAGTGCTGGGCTCTGAGCTGCACCGGATGGGAGCACGGCGTCAGCATCTGGTACTTTTCGGTGGGCTGCAATGGTCATAGCCGCACCGGCCCAACTTGCAACATTATGACGTCTGGGTGTTACCTCCAAAATAACGTCAGCCAAGCAAGGAAAGAGAGCGGACGGCCCTGGAGCCCTCCGATCTGTCACCACAACCCACTTGAAGGCAATCTCAAAAAGGGAGTCTGAGCAAGTGGTGGGCAGGGGACAAATGTGGGTGTGTAGGAGGGGACACCTGTGTGTTGCTGTACTTAATCTGTGTTTTCCCTTTGGGCTGGAAGTTCCTGCGGGAGTGCAGCGCGTAGGTCTCAGCCAGGTGAAGGCCCAAGAGAAGAGCTTTAAGCAGCCCTGGTGAAGACTTTCAGGAGGAGAGACGGGGCCCAGGATTAGCAGGTCCTTAGCAGACAAGCAGAACCTGGAGGCTAGGATGGGGGGGCAGCCTGGAAAGCCAGGGACTTGGTGCTTAGAAAAGCACCCGGGGCCAGGCTGCCACTCCCCTCCCCTCACGCCTGCCGCCCGCAGCTGCTACTGCAGCCCCGAAGCCGCCAATGACAACACCCTGGCCTAAGCCCCTCTTCACCAGCAGCTCTCTGAGGGGCTATTTGCAGAGGCCCCACTTGGAGGTGGGAGGCTTCGCACGCAAGTGTTTGACTTTGAAAGAGAGAAAGGGACATCACAGCAGGTGCCTCCACTTCCCTCCCAGTCCCACCCGCCCTGCGCGCTCCTGTGTGTGTGTGTGTGTGTGTGTGTGTGTGTGTCTGAGAGCAGGCGTCATCCTCACACCTGCTGCCCTGTGACAAGGGCCTTTGAAGCCACACAATGATGCCATCTGCCAGGGACAGCCCGGTGGCTCACTCAGCAGCACTGACCTCATGGTTGCTGTGGCAACCAAGATGGTGGCCTGGGCCTTTCAGAAACACCATCAGGCTAACGATGTCACAGGTTCCCTGCAGCGGAACAGCCCACAAGCCCAGAGCTTCTTTGGCCCACACTTGAATGGAGTGGACGGGGCAGAGAAAGCGGGCAGCCTGCTGGCCAGAGCGGGCAAGAGAAAGAAAAGGGGCCACGAAGGGTTTGGTCATCTCTTTCCTGTGGCTCCGTGGAACCTCCGCTCTCAGGTCAGTGGCTCGCCTCGCCCTGACTGGGGTCCGTCCTTCGTTAGACCTGCCACAGCGGGCACCTCTGCACCTTCTGCAGACCCCCTCTCCTTGCCCTCCACGATCCACATCATGGTTAGAAGATGAAGATCTGACCGTTCCGCCTCCCCGCATTCCCTCTCCCTCCCCCAGTACCTGGCCCCTGAATTTTCCCTTGGGGAGCCCCATCGCTCACAATCTTTGTGCTCAGGTCTGGAAAGGCATAGGACCTAGGCCCGGCCACCAACTCCATTCTCCAACAAGGGAACGGCACCGGACCGGAGCTGGGTCCATGAGAGCACTCCCCTCTCTGGGGTCTGGGCTGGGAGTAGTGAGAAAGAGGTGATTCCTTCTGGAAAATTCTCTTTGAGAATGAAGCCAGGGCAGAGGAAGGCAAATCAAGATTGAGAGCACCCTCCTCCTGACAATGTTTGTGGCTGGATCCAGCCTTGCCTGGGGTCCCTCCACTCAATTTTAGTGCTGTTGTTCTGTACGGTTTTGACTCATGCAGAGCTAGTCACAGCAGGAAATGAAAAAGCCAGGAGAAGATTCCTGATCTTAAACCATTACTATGTGTATGAAGCCAGGTACACTGGCAGGCACCTGTAACCTCAGCTACTCAGGAGGCTGAGGCAGGAGGATAACTTGAGTCCAGGAGTTCAGACCCAACCTGGGAAACACAGCAAAAGTCTGTCTCTCCAAAAAAAAAAAAAAAAAATTTGAAGAAATATAAATGCTTAAGGGCTTCCCTGTGCTATATTTAAATTTAGGCCTCAGTTTGCAAATCTGTGAGGTGGGAACAATCACCCATGTTCTCCACCTTAGTTGACTCTAGTTTACCCAATATCTCCTGACCCTCTTAGCTGAAGCAGGACACTAGGACCTCCTGCTCTGCCCCAAGGACATTTTGTATGAGACCCCAGGAAACTGTACACTTGATAGAAAAAAATCAGCATAAGAGGAAACTGACAACAGCTTGAAGCTGCCCCAGAGGAAACTGGATAAGGTAGAGATAACAGCAAAAAGAGAGAGAAAAGTAGAAGTACTTTGGCAAGAGAAAAGAAAGAAGAAAATTCCACCCAAAGAGCAGTTATTCCTGGAAATAAGGCATGAATGCTACCAATAATAATTTGCATAAAAATAAAAAGTGGAGAAAATCATCAGCCTCTCCTGCAGCCATATGGAGGTTTGTTTTAGGAAGTGAAGGACTCAGTGGCAGTGGCCCTGGAAAACATTCTCCAGGCGGCACGCCATGGACACCAGTGCGTTTCACACAACATTTCTCAGCTTCCCTGGGTCGAAGCCTCCTGTGTCCAGCTGGAGCCGGAGGCTGCGGGGGCAGGAGCCACGGCCGGCACGGGCAGCCCGGCCACTCACCGTGGTGATGAACCTGTACAGCGGCTGCCTTCTCTCCGTGTACTTCACCGTGATGGGGCTGAGGTCATAGCGGAACCAGATGGCAGGGATGATGCGGCCCGTGTGACTGTAGGCGACGTACTCCTGGGGTAGGAGAAGGGGGCGCTGTGAGAATCAGAAGCACAGACCAGGTCTCGTGGCGTCACAGAGCAGCCCTGGAGGAAGGGCCTTCCCCATCTCTCTGCACAGAGCCGGGCTCCACTCCCTCCCACATCCCTTTGCCTGCCTCAGCATCTGGGAGGGTAACACCTGGGGAGACATCCTTCACCCCTTCAGCCACTGGGAAATGGACCACGTGACCTGGAGGCAGCACCGGAATCAAAATACAAACGAAAGCAGAGATGTGCAAGGGAAAGTGTCATCTTGGGCTCAGTCATGAGTAAAAGCGCATTTCCCCGGGGCCATGCCAAGTTCATTTATTTGCTTAGCACTGGTCTGCTGAGCTCCTCTGCTGTGCTGCCTGCTGGGGTCCCTGGGGCGAGGAAGCCCCTTCCCCAGAAAAGTCACAGTCCAACCTTATGCATGTGGGACAGAGGGACAGGAGCTGAGAACGAGTGGCCAGTTCTCCCCAGGGGAATCTGGAAGCCTTGTCAAGGAGGGAACACTCTGAGCCACACACGGGGAGCGTGTGTTTATGTGTGTGCATGTGCGTGAGTGTGAAGAGCACCGAGGCCGCACGGGAGCAAGCCAGCACCGCTGGAAGAGGGACAGCACACAGAACTGGAAGGCAGGCCGGGCCCTGCCAGAGGCTTCCTGAGAACACACACAGCAGGGGCTCAAGATGCAGCTCAAGCTTTGGCTTCCCCGCCTCACGGCAAAGGGGGCTGGGAGGAGGAGCCACAGAATCCCTGCGATGTGGGCGCTTTAGGGTGCAGAACACCTCTGGTCTAGGCTCACGTTTTAAAATTTAAAAAAATTTTTGTGGCTCTAGGGGTGGAGCCCAGGGCCTTGCGCAGGCGGGGCAAGTGCGCTACACTAGCTAAGCAGCAGCGACTGTTCTCACTTGTTTACCATAAACCGAGACTGACACGGGGCACCCCACCCCCGAGTGTCCGGCTTCAGCAGCCCTGGAGTCCTGACCTCCCTGCTGGGGGCCAGCTCCACTCACAGCAGAGGCCAGGGCCAAAGCCACAGAGAAGCTGAGCAGCCTGTCCCGGCCTCGGGGAAGGAGCTGCACCCGTGAAAGATCAGCTTTCTTCAGAGAGAGCTGATAGGGCAGGGTGACAGGCTGGCTCATGGCCCAGAGCTGAGGAACAGGGAGGAAGAAAAACAGCAGCAGCGGGTACCTTGCGGGCTAAGCGTTTTAAACATCACCGCCTCATTTGACAGCAGTCTTATGAGGGGGGTGCCAGCAGCAGTTTAAAGGTGAGTAAACTGAGGTGCTGTGTGATGTGCCTGGGGTCATGGAGCTAGCGATGACTGAGCTGGGGCCCGATCTGGTCCAGAGCTCATGTTCTTTCCGGCCAGAACACATCTGTGTCATGGCAGCTGGCTGCTGTCAGCACTGCAGCGTGACAAGAAGCTGCTTCAGTCCAAATGCAGCCCCCAAAGGCAAGTGACAGCGGCATCTGGAGAAGGGGCCTTTGGAAGGTAAGTGGGGTTAGATGAGGTCATGAAGGTGGGACTGCCGGGATGGCATCAGTGCCTAAGACTCAAGCAGGCACCTTGCTCTGACTTGACCTGCTGTGCTGCAACACCAAGGCCCGACTGGGCCTCCAGCCTCCCTGACCATGAGCCACAGAAACTTCTGTACTTCATCAGTCACTTGGTCTTGAGTATTTTATTACAGCTACTGAAAATGGACTAAGATAGGTATCCTCCATGATATAGTGAAAAAAGAAACAGCATTGCCCTTGAAGAGACACATTGCAACATTAACCCAGGATGGATCACAACAGAGGGGCCCCAAGTCATGACAGAGAGTAGCTTTTGGGTGGACAGATTCACGGTCAGATGGAGTGGGTGATGCAACTGAGACTAGGCTCTGGAGCCCAAGGGGAACCTGGCCCTCATCCTCACTTGGCCACCTTATAGGTCTACAAGCTCAGTGCCTTGATGGAATCTATAAAATGGGGACAACACTCCCAGTGTCAGAGCTATCATAATGATTGAGAAAGATGTTAGAGGCAGAGAGCTCAGCATGTGTACCCTATAGGAAGTCCTCAATAAATGCAGCTGTTGCTCCTCTTATTCTAGTTAACTGAGCTAAATAGTGGGCTTGGGCAGCCTCGGGACAGAAGAAAACGGCAAGTGCTGGTGCTGATGGGGAAAAGCCCACTTATTGGGTCTAGGGGAGCCGTTTCAGCCAATAGGCTTCAAGCATCCATGTGCCATCAGCAGGGTCATCTCTGCAGAAGCCTGAGGCCATCTCTGCCTGAAAATCCCCACTGCTAGGTCTTTCCATTCCATTGGCTCTGATCACCCTCTGCTTCCCACCAAGACCTGCCTTCATGACTCCAGGAGTTTGAGTGTTGGGGTGCTGGGCTGACCCTGATGTTCATCACCTATTAATCCATAGCTGTGCTGGAGTGATTCACCAACCTCCTGATTTTGTTTTTTTATTTTATTTTTCAACCTCCTGATTTTTTTTTTTTGTTTGTTTGTTTTTGTTTTTGTTTTTTTTTCCGGTACCAGGAATCGAACTCACGACCTTGTGCTTGCCAGGCAGGTGCTGTGCCGCTGAGCTAAATCCCCAGCCCCCACCAACCTCCTGATTTTGGATGAAGTGCTTATGTCCCAAGAGCATCTGTCACGTGATTAATCTAGGTCTGAGTCTGAAGGACCTGGACTGATGTAGGTCCTGTGAGGCATTTGCAACCCTGAGCCCTCTGGCGAAAGCCTCTCCCTGCCCTTTCTCAACAGATCATCACATCCTGGTTAGCTTTTCTCCCATGGACGCTGAGACTGCCACGTGGCAAGGACTGGGCCTTTCATCTTCATCCAGAGGACCAGCCAGGCGAGACAAGCCCACTCAGGAGAGAGGCCAAAACGGCAGCAGCAGAAACAGGCTGGGGCGTAGCTGCCTGTCACTACCGCTCATCACCAGCAGAGGGCGCAGTTTCACACCGCTAGCCAGCCATTGCCCACGCACCTTGTTGGCCACCGTGTACTGGTAGGAGTAGCGCTGCTTGCCGCTCTTGTCTTCGTAAACCGTGGGCACGATCTTCAGGATATAGTCGTGGGAGGCGAGGGCTGCGGGGAGGACACAGCAGGATGAAGCGGGTCACATCCCAAACCCTCCCCCCTTGGTAAGGGGGTCCTTTCTCATTCCACCACCAGACAGTCCCTCTCCTCCGTACCACTGTCCGTGCTATGAAAACGATGGCACCAACCCAAACGTCCATCAGCCAGGCAGCCATGAGAGTCGGTGCCGGAGGGGACAGTCCCTGGAGGTGCCAGGTTATAGACCCGGGCAGCACTGTCCTGAGTGTATGCACCAGAATTACCTAGAATAATCTCCAGGGAGCTCTGAGCATCTCTGGTCTCTAGGGAGCAAGCAGGATTTGAGAAAGATCTCATTTCACTGCAGCTATTGGTTTGAATCGTTTTACTTTTCAAAACAAGCTGGGTTTCAGTTTTAAGAAGAAAGAATGCAGCAACCAGGAAAAAACGCATCTATGAAGAACGGATTGGCTTCTTTCCCTGTGTCAGTGAACGGGAGATGGGGTCTCCCTCACCTCCCCTGCAGTACTCCAGCATAATTCTCTTTCACCCTCTTCCTTTCCATCCAGCCAGGACTGGGGCGCTGAGCGCCAGCACCATTCCTGCCTGACTCACCCTGCTGTCCCCAGAGCCCTGCACAGGGCCTGGTACGGCAGGGACGGTGGCAAATGCTTACTGGATGAATGAACGGATGGGAGGATGACTGGACAAAGCATGAATGGGAGAAGAGATGAATCAGCTGCTGATAACGATGAGGTAACCAGAACCAAGCACTGGGCTGCGAGTGGCTGGCGCACAGCTGCCGGCGCCCACCCAGGACAGGTACGGATTCCCTTAGGCCTGCTGGGCTGCTGGCAGAGGCTCAAGGACCCGCTGCTTATTGTCTTCTAGGAGCTTGGGTTGGGGAGCACAGAGTGAAAATAAAAAGTTTAGCCCTGTGGGTTCTAATCCTGGTCTCATCATTGAGTCAGTGCTGTTCTTGGACTCATCCTTAAGCGGGGTGGGGGTGGGAAGAACAGACCTGGCCCTGACATGCTCCCTCCTGCCTCTTCCTCCTCTACTGCATCTCTTAAGGAACAGACAGGGCTTCTGGAATTGCGCTGATGCCTCAAAAACCTGGGAGTGGTGCTGTAGCCTCTAAGCTGAGCCCCGGAGACACACAGGCTCAGGTTTGATCCAGAGGTCAGAGCACTAGGGTTATCTGTGGCTAAAAGGCAGGCCCTGGCTCTCCTTCATCCCTGTGAAGCCCCAGTCAATGGGCCTGGGGTAGGGCTCCACCTCTGCATTTCCACCACAAGTGCAAAGACGGCACTTAACACACAGTGCCCATCACACGGGGCCAAAACTCGAAGAAATGGGTGAACGAGCGACTGCCTTACCAGAGTCACACCTGCGATATTTTTGTTAGCATTTGTGCAAAACACAGGTAGTCTCAAAGGGAAAAATAAATAGCACGTTTAAACCTACCACCCCCAGAAAATTAGTTCACATTCTTACTATAAACTGCCAGACATATGTTTATACATATGGTCATGTTTTCCCCTAGTAGGATCATACTGTAACTTTTTTAAAGGATTGGACGTCATGAACATTTTAAGTCCATGATGCAGAACGGAAGCGCCGTGGAGTTGTTTCATTTCCTCTGTGTCCCCAGAACTCTGCCCGGTGCCTAGCACACAGTAGGTGCCGGGTATCTGGCGCCTGACTGCCAGCATGGCTCTGCCGCATCACCGTCAGCAGCTACACACATATTCCATGATGCGGGCACACATGATGCCCTCAGCCAAGCCCCCTGGCTGGCACTGACGTGATTCCTCCTTTTCACTGCCGTAAACAATGACCCAGTGAGCGTTATTTTCCTAGATCTTCGTACACTCTCCTGATTATTTCCTTAGCTTACTCTCTGGCCAGTAGAACTGATGACTCAAAAGGCGATGATCATTTCTAAGGCCTTTGATGCAATTTGCCAGATGCCCACTGGGGAGACGCAGCACTAGATCATGACCACGGGGGACCCTGATTAGCTGACCCATCCTAGAGGCTGCTGGCTCCAATCTGGCCCAGGCAGGCTCACATCCCCGCTTCCTTCCCTCCCAGCATCTCAGCATAGAGCAACCCTCACATAAAGGATATGATAAATTCCTACACACCCGCTTCCCACAGGGCTGATCTTTTTTATCTCAACCTCACCATTGAGATGGGGTTTGAGTCTGCATTTTTTTTCTATGCTGGGGACTGAACCCAGGGCCTTGCGTATGCTAGGCGTGTGTTCTGCACTGAGACACACCCCTTACTCTAGAATCTGCATTTGTAAGCCAGCCGCGTGCACGGACATTAAAACAATCGCACTTGCTTTGATTTCATTTGCGCCACTTGGGACCAGTGACACCATTCAGCTCTATAATACAGAACACAGATCCACGTGAGAAAGGTTCACCTTGGCTTTGCCCTAGGGAGCTTTGTTCCGGAAGGAAGTTGCCGGTGGCCCTGACGAGACTGGCTAACACTGCGTGCTCACAACGTGAGGTCCGTGCACCCATCCTTTTCCGTGTGGCTCATCAGTCCTTGTGGCAAGGACTCTCCCCACCTGACAGATGCAGAGACTGGGGCTCAGAGTAGTTAGGAGGCTTTCTTGAGGCTACAGGGCTGGGAAACAGAAGAGTGAGATTCTGCAATGCGAGGTCCTCGCTACACTGCCCCGCCACCTGGCATCTCCTCCACAGTGGACTCCAGTGTGACGGCTTATCATCTGCTAAGCACTGGGCACTGGGCAGGGCCCTGGGGACAGGCAGAGTCGTGGGGAAGGCACAGTCCCTGAGTTCATGAAGCTTCTGTTCTAGTTGGATCAACAGCCAAGACCAACAGAGAACTGAAAGAACAGGATCGCTTCCAAGAGTGGTACGTGCCAGCAAGAAAAGGCATCTTATTAGGAGTGGGAGTTGCTCTAGACAGTGTGGTCAGAGAGGGCCTCTCTGAGGGGGTGGCACTGAGCTCAGACTGGGTGCAGCAGACCCGTGAGACAAAGCGCCAGCAGAACTGAGCTCAGAAGCTGAGGAAATGAAAGCCACCCTGCCCTTGGCTGTCTTGTGCCATACATTTTTCCTTCCACATCATAATGAGATGGCTTTCGTCATTAGCCCAGGGCAGGTGAGGCCCCCCACGGCCACACCCTCCATGGGCTCCCCCACTCCGGGGCCTTCCTAGCTCCATTCTCTTCCAGTGTGGGGCGGGTGAAGGGTCCATCCTCTGCAACACAGGCACTGTGGAACATGCTGCTCCTACACGACAGTGACAGTGATCGCGCGACTGCATACTGTCTCCTGGCTGCTATAGTACCCAGATACCTGTGGAACAACAGGAGGCACTGTTCACGGGGAGGAAGGACAGTGCCTGCTCGGCTGAGCGCAAGTGGGCAAAACAGCACACATGCTGGGTGAGACGGTGCATGCTTATCATCCCAGCACGTGGGAGGATGAGGCAGGAGGATCACTTCGAGTGTGAGGCCAGCTTGGGGTACATAGTGAGTTCAAAGCCAGCCGGGATTATGTAGCGAGACCCCATCTCAAAAAATGGAACAAACAACAACAAACACAAAAATCCAGAGCAAATGGCACACATAACTGAGGCATTTCTGTGACGACAAGAAGCTGGAGACAACCGACATCCTGATCTCGAAAGATGCCTTCAAGAACACAGGCAGAGGGGCCGGGGGTTGAGGGGAGCAAACCTGCCTCTCTTACAGGTGGACAGTACAAAGATGTAGCAATGCCCAGTACAAAAACCAGGAAAGGGACCTGTGACCTATGCCCAGGAAAAATAAAAATGACTTCTGTTCACAGACGGAGACTGCACAGAGACACCGAGCGATGAAGTTTGGTTTGTGGGGAGGCAGATCAGGGACGGATGGTTTCTTTTATTTGGGTTCCTGGCCGCGGGAGAGGAAATGTGTTTTAGGAAAAAACAGGAGAATCCATGCAGGTAGAAACGGCGAGTGCAGGTGAGGAGTAAGCAGTCAGGGTGCCCTGTCCAGCACCACTCAACCAGTAAGGGGTCTGCGGGGCATACCGGTCTCCTGGGCCGCGCCGTGCGCATGCGCACATGTGTGCGCGTGGGGCGGCGGGGGGGCGGGTGGCATAGGTCCATGCGCGTGCGCACATGCTCTTCTGCCGTGTGTGGCGAAGTGGCACTCTTTCTAAAGGGAGAGGGCTGTAGGAGGACCCAGGGTTGGTAGGAGGGGTTCGAGCAGGAGGAGAGCGGAGATTGTTGGCTGGTCACCCCTTGACTGGGCCACCTACCGTACAGAGCTGTTCTCAGAATGGACACTGGCTCTGCCATCCCCCAGGGGTATCTGCGGGGACCCTCTCCACTCAGAACAGGGAAGTGGCAGTAATGGCAGTGGTAAGAGTGATGACAGCTAGCATTCGCCGCGGTCAGCTGATGTGCAAGGACTGCCATACGCCTTCCCCTGGGCAGCTTTTCTTCCCACCCCCGTAAGATGGGGAGGAGTCCACCTTCCTCTAGGCCCGCAGGACGGGAGCATGGGCAGCTGCCCTGGCCGCCACCAAGCGCCTGGTGAGCACTCCGCCCTCCGCCCCTCTTCCCGCTGCACCACCGTGGGGGACTCCTGGGCAGAGGGCTGTCCGGCCGGGATACTCACGGTTGGAAGTGAGTCTGTCTGCTCCTCCCAGAGCGTTGAAAGCTCCATGGACATTCTGGACCTGCGGAGAGGCACAGTGAGGGATGTCCCTGGGAGGCTGCCTCCCCCAGGCTACGGGGGACCGGCTACGTGCCACCTAGTATAGGGATCGCCCTTGTGCTAAGGGATCGGGCAGGGTTTGTCTCGGAAGGTGGTGGGAGCAAGAGACAGGGTGGGCTGGGTTCACGGTCGGCCAAAGCTTGCTTCCCATCTTGAGCACCGAACCTGACAACTCTGCGTCCTCTCACTTAATGTCCTTAAAGATGTACTACTGGGCTCATTTTACAGAAGGGCAAACCAAGGGTTGGAGAGGTATCCAGCGACTGGTAGTGGCTGAACCAAAGCCTGAATTCAAATCTGTCTGACTTCAAGCTGAGCTCTTTGCAGGAAGCTACACAGAAAACTCAGGTACTTGATTCTGAGTGCCCCAGACCTCTGGAAGACCCCAAGAAGAGCCCAGGGTGGGGGTGCCCCAGAGCAGGGGCCTCCGATGCTGTCAGCTGCAGAGAACTTCATGTGGCAGCTGGCTAGGCTATGTCCCCCCCTCCCCAGGTAGTGACTGCTGCAGAGTGGCATAAAAACTACATCCCATCTTTTCTCAGAGGATGACGGGAAACCAGGTTAGCCTCAAGGAGTGTCTAAAGCAGGACCTCGGCAGACGCAGGGTGGGAAATATACTACCATGGGCTATGCTGCCAGGGACTCCCAAGCAAAACATCTGGAGGAAGCCGAAGTGAGTCAGGCAAGTGTCTGTGCAAAGGCTCTGTAACCCCAAGGAGGAAGAGGCTGAGATCTGGCACGCAGAGATGGGGGATAAGGGTGGGGCCAGGCTGCGGAAGAAAGGGCCAGTGGGTGATGGGGGTGGGGCAACCCAACCCCACATGCTGACCCACCCGTTTGCTGAACTCTCAACAGAGCTGCACACCTTAAACAGTCAAGGAGTTGGAGGTGTGGGGAGAAAGACTGCATTTGGTGCCTGGAATCTGAAGTTCTGGTTTCTAACCCACGAGGATGGTGGTAATGAAGACAAGAGTGCTAGAATGTTCCCTTCTGTTGCTGTGGATTGTGGTTTTTATCTCATATTCATTTCTATAATTGGATTAAAGCTTGATAAACATTTCTTTGAAGGTTTTTTTGTTTGTTTGTTTGTTTTGTTTTGTTTTCTGTACCGGGGATTTTTGTTTTCTGTACTGAGCTACGTTCTCAGCCCTTTTTTAATTTTGAGACAAGCTCTTGCTAAGTCGATAAGCTGCTCAGGCAGCTGAAACTTATAATCCTCCTGCCTCAGCCTCCCAAAGTGCTGAGATTTCAGGTGTGTGCCACCATGCATGGCTGATAAATATTTCTTGAAGGGACAGACGGATAATGAATGAGCCCTGAAGTAAGTTTTGTGTTTAAAGAAAATAAAAATTCCTCCACACTAACGACTGAGTGTAGGGCAGCCCTATTCTTCCATTCTGCCAGCCGCACACTGGGGCACACTGCAGATAACCACAGCTGTGCGCTCAGGGAGAAACAACGAGGACGAGCTGCACAGAGACCCCTCCAGAAGGCGCCTCCCTGTGCCCAGGGAAGACAGACAGCGCCCAGTGGCAGCCCCGTCACTCACTCCCAGCCACGCCACCCCGAGTGCTTCCCGCTCACCTGGAGTGTGTCCCCGAAGGACAGCTTGTGGATGACGTGTGTCATGTCCGGGTTCTGTGGCTGCGCTGTGGCACTGTGTGTGGACACATGGAAATTGCCAGGGACCTGGGGAGAAATGCAGGTTTCATCAGGAGTTTGGTTGACTTTCCCAGGAGACAGAATGCAGGGGCTGTGTGTCCAGGCACGGGAGGGCACCGGGGTCACACAAACCCGAGCGTGGAGCTGGCTGGTGTCACTGCCGACTGTGTGACTCTGAAGGAGTCACTCACCTCTCTGAGCCTCAGGCTGCCCGGCTGTGCAGTGAAGGCACTAGAGGCTAGCTGAGGCGGGGGCCGGGACAACTTGGGGTGAGAATGCACCAGCTGGATGCCAGGCACAAAGCAAGGAGGCGAAATGGCAGCTGGTCCCCGTCCACCCCCATGGAGTCTGCGCCATGGCCCCATTGTGGGTCGGTGATGAACCCTGAGCCTGCAGACCACCAGTACTTCCTGGAGCTTCAAAGCATAGTCACCACACACCATCTGCTCATCAGCCTAGACGGGGGTTCCCAAAGGACACACGGGAGTGGCCTCAGTTCTTCCCCGGGTCTCACAGCCCTCGCCCAGCCTGACCAGTGTTGTATCACATCCACTGGGACGACTGTCCCCTCCACACTCTCAGCGAGCCAGGTGGACGAAGGCGGCTGCTGCTGACCTTCTGCCAAGGGCCCCACAGTGCTCTCATGACCACCCTGTTTCCACCAGAGGTTTTCTTCCTCCTCTTCCCATCCCTCAGCTGCCCGGACTAAAGCCCTGTTGTCACACTGGAACCCTCTCTCTCTTATCCCACGTCAGGAAATGCTGTCGGTCACACCTTACATCACACCCAGCATCTGACCCTTTTGAGGCCTTACTGCTTCCTTGGCCCAAGCTGTCTGGACAGAGAGCAACTTCAGACTCCTTCCTGGGCACCCCGCTCCTGCCCTTTCACCCTCCACCCCGGCATTTCCTCAGCAGAGATGGGCAAGATGCTTTAAACCCTTTGTACAATCTCATTGCACCTCTGCCCCAAGCCGTCTAATGATTCTGCTCCTCAGCCTCCTATAGTTTGGGTGTAGTTTGTCCTCCAGGGGTTCAGGTACTGGAGGCCTGGTCCTCAGAGTGGCGGGTGACAGACAGTAGGATCTCTGAGAAATGTGGCCTGGAGGAAGGTTCTTAGGTCACTGGAAAGCTCTGCTCTTGGAAGGGATTATGCATTCTCATAGGATCTTGGTTAGTTCTTCAAAGAGGGTTAAAGAAGAGCAAGGCCAGACCCCTCTTCCTGTCTCACCATGTGACCCCTCGCACATGCCTGCCTGCCATTGTGATGCTATCTGCCATGAAGTCCTCATCAGAGGCCAAATCAACGGGGCCGCCTGATGTAAAGCTGAGCTAATAACCTTTTTTCTTTACACATCACCCACTGTAGCCATGGAAGAGCTGACTGTTGCCGAGCTGACGTCAATATCCTCCTGTGTCACGGCCTGGCCACTGGCCACGCACCTGCCCTGTGCTCTCTGGCTCCTGTCCCACTGCTCTCGCCTCCGCTCACCTTGGCCTCCCCACTGTGCTGGGAGCGCTGCCCGGCACGCTCCCACTTCAGGGGCCCTTGCACGTGCCACCCCCTTGCCCACGGCCCACCCTCCCCTCCCTAAGTTTATGCTCAGGGCACCTCTGAGAGGCCCTCCACGCCCGCCCACCTGTCTGAAGGGCACCGGGACCCCTCTCTCCTCCTGCTAGAAGGTGAGCTCCCTGCCTGCAGGGATTCGTTCCCTGCTGTACTTCCAAGACCCTGACTCATAGCAGGTGTGCAGCAAATATTTACTGAATGAGTGAAGGGCACCCGGTCCCTTGACTCTGGTCCGTGATACAGGATAGGAAACTGACGCTCACAGTAGGGGAGAATCTTGCTAAGGTCACAGGCCGAGAGCTGCACTGGGATTCTCGGACATGCTTTTTCCTCCCACTGACACCCAGATGCCCCTTAATCTCACTGCCCTCAGCTCATGCTCACATGAAGCCAGTCCTACAGGAGATACAGGTCTGGGGAGAGGACCCAGGCAATCCGGCCTGGCCAAGCCCTCGGCCCACTGTGACATACACTTAGAACGGACGAAGAGACCCTGAGGAACCCACACTAGCCCAGAGGGCTGTGCAGACCTTGGGGGCTAGGAGAAGAGCACTCAGCTTTATTGGGGATGCAAGGCATGTTTGGGGAGGGCTTCTTCCCCAAGAATGGCCTTGTGCTAACTCCCTGAGGATGAGTCTGTGTGACTCAGGAAGACAGGGAAAGGCATCTGGGCAAAGGGAACTGCATGACCACGGGTGGGGGTGTGGACGCAGCCCGAAGAGTTTGGAATTACTGAACGCTGAATAGAGAAGGGTCGGGGGTGGGGGGTGGCAGGAGGAAACAAAGAAGCACAAGAGGGAGGTGGGGCTGTTTATCAAGACCCCAAATGCCATGCTGAAAGCCCAGAGCTTATCTTTTTCCAGCTCAGCAGAGACAGAGAGAGCTGCCCTGGAGTAAGGACTATGGCTCACAGCCTAGCGTGCAGCCACTAGCACCCTGATCTTGTCTGCCTCCATCCCAAAGCCACAGGCTTCTGCAGCAGCCTGGTCTCCAGCAGGGCGAAGCTGGGGCTGGTGGGGGGCACAAGCTGATAAGCCTGGGCTTGGGGTCAGCAAGCCACTGTCCAGCGTGCTGTGGGCGGGAGAGGAGGGACTGTTCACCGGGCCTAGGGTGCGGCATGAAGGACTGCACAGCAAGATCTTCCTTGAGGGACCACATGGCCTGCCTCAGGGACTGGATAACCCATGGAAGAGCATTGGCTCTGAGCTCCACGCTCACGCTCAAAACCAGCCCTGCATCCTGGCTAGGAGGCCAGTAGCCGCTCTGCCTCTGCTCTCCATCGCCATGGAGTGGGGCTGGGAGGTTAAAGGAGGCGATGCACGCAAAGCAGGTGGCAGCTCTTAGGAGAGGTTTGTCATCAGCCAGTAGAGAAGGGCCCTTCGGGTAGAGGAACAGCGTGTCCACAGGCAAGGCACGAGGACAGCTCATGCATTTAAAGTCTTCTTTAAACTCCATTTTCAAGGCTGGGAGTGAAGCTTAGTGGAAGAGCCCAGTTTACCACACAGGAGGCCCTGGGATCCCTAGCACCACAAGAAAAGAAAACACGAAAGACTCCATTTTCACGGCAACAAACAACACCTGGATACATTTCCATTATAAAACCTTCCCACGATGCAGCCAGCACTCAAGTCCCTGTTGCCTGCTACTCCCGGAAGTAGGAAACCCATAGCGCCCCGCATGTGTGCCCAGCTAGTTTTTCACTGCAGCGGCCAGGGCCTCCTGGGGAACGGCCCCGGGGCACAGTTCAGAATCAAGTTCAGGGCCGGGACCTCACTCTGGGAGCTACGTGAGCCGAGCGGGCAGGCTTCCGAGCACCTGCCAGCCGCAGCCATGCCTGCAGGGCTGTGACTCAGGAACCCACTCCCGCTCCACTCCAAATCCATCGCCAGTGGCTGACTCATGCGGCACACGCTGGGCTGAAGAAAGCAACGATGACACTTTTAGCGCCTATGACTGAGGAACCTACGTCAGTGTCTGATGGATTTTAAAAATATATAGCTGGAGCCCGGCTGCCTCCCCTGTCCCTTCCACCCTCCTCCTGAGGGGCTGGGTGATTAAGCGAGGTCGCCATGCAGTCTGCCTGGGCAGCTGCGAACATGTGAACCCTGACATCTGGCTGCTGGTCAGCTTCCTGAAGGACAGATAAGGAGGCCGGGGGGCATGTCCACTCCTGATGCTGGGAGATAGGAAGGCAAGTGCTGTCCTGGTCATCACAGCACACGGTCACTGTCGACTTCCGTACCCAAGCTGTGGCTCCTCAGTGGGCAGAGGAGTTTCACGGTGCCCTAGGGGTTGGGGCACAGGTGACCTGGAACACTGGTTGCTGTAAAAGAGATACTGGAAAACGTGGCCACAGGCCACCGAAGGACAGCCACGTGCAACTGCTGAGCATGTGAAATCTGGCAAGTGAGACTGAGGGACATTTGATTTGATTTAATTAACCTTCAATCTCCTTACGTGGCTAGTGGCTATTTACTGGACAGCATGGCTCTGAAGCACAAATCTGATCACATTCCTTCCCTCCTTAAAATCTTCAGACAGCTTCCCAAATCCAAATCAAGGGTACAGCAAAGATGATGTGTGGCAGCTGAGCTGCAGAAAAAGCCTGAAACCCCTCCTAGTACCCCTGCCCTTGGATTGACCCCCCAACACAACCTAGGGTGTTACTCAGTTTAATCCATTAAATGCAGCAGAAAGGGCAGTTTCATTTTTTGGTACCAGGGATCAAACTCAGGACCTTACGCTTGCCAGGCAGGGGCTTATGCCTCTGAGCCCAGGAATGGCATTTTCACCACTCCAGTCAAAACCTGAAAAGGGTGGGTGTGGTGGTGTACACCTGTAATCCCAGCACTCAGGAGGCTGAGGCAGGAGGATTACTGAGAGTTTGAGGCGAGCCTGGGCTACATAGTGAGTTTAAGACCAGCTTGAACTACATAGCAAAACCCTGTCCCAAAAAAATCAACAAGCAAACAACCAACCTAAGAGGGTTCTGTGCTTTCTGCTTTAGCATTCAGCGAGCCCTGAGCTCATGAAAGAGCAGCCCCAGCCTTCTGGACACCTAGCAGGCATGGAGGGGGGAAGTAGTGGTACAGGCCCTCTCTAAAGCAGATGGCTGATCCTTGTGCCAGGTTGTTGTCACTCGTGGGAACATGGACCTGGTGTGGCTCGAACCTCTGACTTTTAAGAACCAGAAAGGTGGACTTCTGATCTTTTAACGCTAGCTCTGATGTGTTTAAATGCTGGCCAGGACAAACACAGCCTGTCTCTAGGCCAGGTATGGCCAGGGGGTTGGCAACCTCGCTTTCAGACATTAGGGTTCATGGAAGGGTGTTCTACAGTATATAGAAGCCAGGAGCAGCCATTGGCTCATCCAGCTGGGCACAGGAGGGTGAGCTCCAAGACACCAGGAGAGCTGTGTGACCCAGGGCCGATACTTACTTACCCTCACTGTCTATCAGCACTCTTTAAAATGGTGCTGTCCACTGCGATGGTACTGAGCTGAGCAGAATGCGGGCACGTGCCTACTGACCCTGCTGGTGTCCCCCAGGCTCCTCACCCTCCCAAGCACACTGCACTCATAGCCCTAACTGAGGATATGAAACTCCTGGTAACAACAACACCTGAACGGTCCTTTGACACAGACAAGGTAGGTTCAACCCTCCTCATCTCACTTCCGCCCAGCTTTATTCCTCATCCCAGCACTTGGCACCCACTGCAATGCTTTTCCATGTGTAGACTGCTGGTCTCCTTCCACCGGAACCTGAGCTCTACCAGCCTGGGAACTCTGCCCATCATCTCGCTGCAAAGACATTGAGCCTGGAACCGTCCCTGAATGGCAGGTGCTCAATAAACCTTTCTGCATGAACGCATGTGTATTGGCTGATTCCATCCTCACAGACTGTGCAGTGGACAGTCTCACTCTACTAGTCACACAATCACCTTAACAATGTAAAAGTCTGGGTCAAGAGACCTGCTGGGCATTGCTTAGTTAAGAAGGGGAAGAGGGCACCTGGCTACAAATACCAAGGGCTTCTCACTGCCTCCCTCAATGGGGAAATAGTCGCCTTCTGAACCAGCGACAGGGGCTTGAAACCTCAGGGAGTACAAACTCCACCCTGATCCTCAGCAGGAACTGCCAGGCGCTGGACACTGACCGTCAGCTTGCTGGGGGTTCTGTTGGAGTCAGGAGGAGGGGACACTCAGTTCCATCAATAGGTGTCCAGGGAGGGCAGGGACATGGCAGTGGGGAGAAGATAAGAAGGGCGTGGTGGCACACACTTGTAACCCAGCACTTAGGAGGCTGAGGAAGGAAGATCACTGAGAGTTTGAGGCCAGCCTGGGCTACACAGTGAGTTCAAGGCCAAGGTCAGCCTGGACTACATAGAGAGAGCCTGTCTCAAAAAGAAGAAAAAAAAAAGCAGGGGCACGGCGAGGGGCTCCATACCTTATTGATGCTGAACTGGCCCTCGAAGCGGCAGCCTGCGCCATTGTTCAGGGGGATCTTCATCGAATTGTCGATGTGGCCGACCTCGTGCCTGCCCATTTCATCCTGTATGTCGAGCCCAACCACTGCAGGAGCAAGGAGAGCACAGTTACTCCACCCACAGAGGCAGAGCCCTCATTTGCCCATGCTTGGATAAGCTGGCCCTCTGCCTCCCAGCTCACAGTCTGGGGTCCAAGGCCACAGAGAACGTTGGCACAGCAAGGAGAAACTAGGTGCTCTGCTAAGAGGAAGCAACACCCAAAACATTCCCACTCCCTTCCTGGAAAAGCCATAATGCTAGCGGTGGTTAATACTGCCTGGCAGCCAGGTGTGGTGGCGCGTGCTTGTAATCTCAGCACTTGGGAGGCTGAGGCAGGAGGATCGCCTCAAGTTCAAGGCCAGCCTGGGCTATATAGTGAGTTCAAAGCCAGCCTGCACTGCATAGCGAGACCCTATCTCAAAGACAACCACCACCACAACAAAAACTGCCTGTTAACTTGGTTGGCCTAGGAGACGCCTAGATTAGTAAAGCATACACAGGGTGTCTGGGCAGGTCATGGGAGAGGAACCTTGGGGACTGTGTCTGGTCCCTGGCCTCTTCCTCGCTGGATTTCCCCCTGCTCTGCTCCCTGGCTGCCATGAACGAGCAGCTTTGCTCTGCTGTGCCCTTCTGCCATGATGTTTCTGCCCTGGAGCCTGCTGATGGCGGAGTGAAAGTGCAAGCCTGAAATAAAGCTTTCTCCTTAAGGTGTGTGTGTCAGATACTCTGTACCAGCCCCGGAAAGCTAATATAAAGCCTTCCACATTGCTGCTAGGCAAGGGCGGGAAGGCCTGGGGGGGAAGCGACAGCTGAGGGGCGAGGGACTGAGGATGGCAGCGCAGTGTGGAGGCGGCTCACTGGGAGGCTGAAGCAGGCAGTTAGTGGGAGGGGTTGAGAGGAAGCAGCAGGTCTGCCTCTGGTCACCCACATCCTGGCTTGCACGGTACTGGCTGTTTTGACAGGTACTCACTGCCTCAGGTACTTACTAGCTTCTAAATGCCTCAGTTTATTTCTTGGCAAAATGGGGGTGATGATAACTGAAGCTTCCAGGGAAAATTAGAAAGATCAAATCACAGGTATGAAAAAATGCTTAGGACAGAGTCTGACGGACAGTGAATGGAAAGCGCCGAGTAAGTGTTAGCCCTTACTGATTCTTAGACTCTGGGTTCATTGAGTGAATGGGGTAAAGCACGCATTCATTCATTCATTCATTCACAACTTCTTTTACCCAGTGTCTGTTCCTGCCAGGTCCTACGCACTTGCCCAACCACCAGGGATGCACAAAGGCAAAAACCAGCCCAGCCCCAAGAGCCTGGGTGCTTTTTCTAGGTTTCTCGGTCCACAAAATAGGGACCCTGTGGCCTGGAGTCCATCCTAACTTTGCTAGGACTTTGTCACTTCACAGGGACTCGGCTTCCCCATCTGTAACATGGCCACTGCCTACCACACTCCCTGAGATGATCCGAATGGCAAGCAGCGGGAAGATCTCTGTAAACTAGGGAAATGCACAACGCTAGCAAGGAGGCCATAACACAGAGAAAGAATGGCTAGAAATGATGTTAAAGTGAGCCACCTGTAGAAGGGAAAGCAGTCACGATCCATGCTCCTCAGTGGGAGTGGGGGAGTGGGCAGGCCTATCCGTGGAAGGGCCTGAGATGCAGCCATGACAGATGACAGCACGGGTCTGCAGAAGCTGGGAAAGGCTACGCTGAAAGGCTAAGGTTAAAAGAAACTTGAGCAGGTCTCTGTTAGACTCACGTCCTCCAGGCTCCTGGCCTGCAGATACACACGCAGGTCCAGACGTGTGCGGGAGGCCACTCCATCAGCTCTATTTGAAATCAGGACAACGAGAAGCAGCCCAATAGTCTGCCATCAGGCAGCAGCCTGGAATAGCTCCCCTCTCTAATGCGGTGCGGCAGGTAGAGAATGCGCCAGCTCTGTCTACGTGCAGAGGAGGCTCCGGGAAGGGCAGCAGCTGACTGACTGGCAAGTTCCCTAACCTCTCCGTGCCTCAGTGTCTTCCTCAGTCCCAGACTTCTCGTGAGGATCAGAGAAACTTAAAACAGCACTTACTGTGTGCTGTGTGCTCTTCTACATGCTGTTACATAAGAACACAGCACCTGAACAGCCCTGTGGGGAAGGTGATGGTATCAGCCCCAGCCGACACGTGGGGAAACTGAGGCAGAGATCTCCCAGCTGAGAAACACAAGAGCTTGGACTGCTATCGGGGAATCTTCCTCCAGCGTCTCCGCCTGTTAGTCACTCAGCTAGACACCCCTCCCCTTCACACATCAACAAGCCAAGGATGCAGGACAGGCCCGGCCGGCAGGGAGGGATAAGTTAAAGCACCTGTTATTATTCCGCTAACATTACAAGTATTGTAAGGCCTTCTTTCATACATAGATGAAAGAAAAAGCCAAACATGATACAGTTGACCCTCAGTATCCATGAGGGATTGGCTGCCAGACCTTCAGGGACACCAAAATCTGGGAATGCTCAGGCCTTATGCAAATGGTGTAGTATAACCCAATAACCCATGCACATCCCCCTGTATGCTGATACCATCTCTAAAGACTCATGATACATAACAAAATGCAAACGTTACGTGAATAGTGCTACAGTTTAGATCGTTAAGTGTCCCCATGTGATAAAGGCTTGTTCTCTGGCTTGGGGCTATGGGAGAGGGTGGAGCCTTCAGGAGCTAGAGTTTGGGGTGTTCTTCTGGCCCCTCGGGGGTGCTCCTGAGGGGGATGGGCTTCCTCTGTCTCTCGTGATTCCTGGTGTGAGGTGAACAGCTCCATTCCACAATGGATTGACTGTCACAGGCCAATGCAACGGGGCCAATTAGTCGTGGGTTGGAATCTCTAAGACTATGAACCAAAATAAAACTTAAAATCTGTACATGTTTGGTACAGGTGCAGTATCTTTTTCTAAACATTTTTATCTGCAGCTGGGGAAAAGGGCCCCCCTATTAACAGAGGCCTCCTTGTGGTGGGGGGGAGGCACACTGAAGAGTAACTGAAGGGAACAGAAAAGGGGTATCTCTATTTTGTGTGCGTTCTGAATCAGTCCCTCTTGCCTTTCCCCTTTCCCTCGCCCTCTCCCTTTCTGGTACTGAAGACTGAACCCAGAGCTACATCCCCAGCTGTTTTCTTTTTTATTTTGAGACAGGGTCTCCCTAAGTCTCTAAGTTGCCCAGACTAGGCTTGAACTTGTGATCCTCCTGCCTCAGCCTCCTAGAGTGCTGGGATTAAGGGTATGCACCACCATGCCTGGCTAGGATTGAATGTGTGTTTTTCAAAAATTCCTGTATCAGTTTATTAGTTTTGTAATAAAGAATATTATTTTTAAAAGCAGAATATGAGACTATACATGTAGTATGGTCTTGGCCGTGTTCAAAAGGACAGAATGATGTCAACTTGTCAAGAGACACTCATCATCAGTGGAATTATAGGTGCATCTCTGGATTTTCTGATGTACAATGATAAGCATCCATTTTCATCTATGATAAAAATTTGAAGTTTGTTTTTTTTTTTGTACTTGGGGTTGAACCCAGGACCTTGTGCGTGCTAGGCAAGTGTTCTACCACTGAGTTACCCTGAGGTTCTTCTAAAAAACACTACATTGCTGGTATCAGCTGCCAGCATGGCTTACAGCACATCCTGAAGAGCTGGAAGGGCCTGGTAGGGAGCAGGGCAGACGGCCAACACAGTCAGCAGCCTGAGGACTCCTGGCCCCATTCTAGGCCACCACCTGGAGCAGGACAGAGCCTGGAGCCACATCCCTTCCTTTCCCTGCTCTGCTGGTCCCAGTCCTCCGGCCTAAAAATTTCCTTGTGCCAGAGACACAATCAGCTCCTGAAGGAGAAGCTGCCAAATGAAATTATTTTTTAAAATAAAAATAAATAAAGCTGACCTATTTCAACAGATGCCCTGGCTTGGGGCCTACAGTGGATTCAAAATTGTGACGTCATTCTCATGAACAACAGTTATCAAGGCCGAATGTCTCCTTATCTCTGGCTAGAGGCCCGCTGGTGTCCTGTCCTTGCCTGTGCCCTTTAACAGGAAGGGAGGGAGCAGGAAGAGGAGAGGAGCCGCACCGTGCTGTGTGCCGGGCAGGGAAGAGAGACGGCTGGGACCCCAGGCCCAAGGAGGACTCCGAGTCAAGGAGCTATCACATCAGATGCTCCCAGCGAGCTCAGGCAATAGGTACTATTACGGTAAGCTCACTTTGCAGAGGAAGACACTGAAGTCACCTTAGCCAAAGTCCCAGCTTTTGTAAGCAAAAGTACCAGGATCCAACTCCAAATCAGACTGATTGTGTTCTCTCTTGATTTATTATCTTGATTAGAATAAACAAACAGAAATAGAGCTGACGTAAAAAAGAAGTTTCCTGATGCTTCCCTGGGATAGCTGTCACTGCAGCACTTTCACAGACAGTGGTCTGACCCAGCTTTGGCAGATGCTGGCTACCCAGAGTCCTATCCTGCTCCCTCCAGTGCTTGTGGTTAACAGGAAGTCTCCTTGCCTTGACTGCTTGGGAGGTCCTATGACTGCCACTGTTGCCAGGCACACCACCCTGAAGCTATTTGCCAGTGATGAGGACCTTAGCAGCCCAGTTCCAGTGCTACCCAGTGGGAAAAACTCTATTTGTGTCACTCACATGGCTCCCTGTGGCGTCAGGCTGAAACTGGACTTCAGCTGGGCACACGCCTTGGCTCATCTTTCTGAGCTGCTGCCCTCCCTCCCTTACGGCTGCCTCCTCTCAATAAGCCATGTGCATGAGAACCTCAGGTTCTGCTTCTAAGAAACAGGACCCAAGAGGCTCCACTTCCCTGCACACATGTGGCTGCTCTGCACACGTAGCCCCTGTGAGCAGTGTGTGTGTGTGTGTGTGTGTGTGTGTGTGTGTGTGTGTGTGTGTGTGTTTTCTTCCAGAAAACCTCTGAGGAGTGGGGGCAGCACGTGCTCCCTCATTGTTGGCCCTCCACTCTGCTTATCCTGGATGTCTTGCCCCACCAGCACACCCAGATCTGTCCCAAGAAGGTGCCCTGCTGGAGCAGCTGTTTGAAATACTCACATTCGCAGTGCAAATTGGGTAAACTGATGTTCAGACTGACGTCAATTTTCCCCCCGCTGTCCTTATCTGGGTCATCAACGTAGAGCTCGTTCACACTGAGGGAGAAACAAATACAGAAACCTTTACTGAGATGGAAACACCAATCCTGGCCACAGGGGACAGCCAGAGACCACTTCATTTGCTGGCCACAGCATGGACGACCTAGACCAACCCTGTGCATTCAGGCCCAGGGGAGCAGGGCTCCCTAGTGGAGCGCACTCTGGGACTGCAAAGAGGCCGATGCCCAGAAGGGAGGAAGAGTGGGTAGGAGGAAGGGCACATTTTTCTGAGAAAGATTCAGGTTCATATCTTGGTTTTGGTACTTTCTGCGTTCAGCTCTAAGAATCCATCTCTTAAATGTCGACAATATTGCTCATTACCAATGCGATGCTTTGAACATTAAAATGTGAAATGGGGGTCTTACTAGGGTTCAGGGCCTGGTACCAGCAGGCACACAGTACCTACTGTCTCTCTTGTTAGGATCCTCTCTCACCTTGTTGTGATCTTCCTCCCTTCCCAGGGAAGTCGGGACATCCCTGGAAGCCCATCTTGACAAAGTTCTAGCAAAGACCCAAGGTTAGCAACATGACCACACAGCTCTATGAGGGTCCCATGGCTGCTATAACAAATGATCACACAGTCAAATGGCTGTGTGATAATCAAAATTTATTTTCTTATACTTGCAGCAATTTCCTTTCTCTCTGTCTCCCTCATATAAGAACTCTTGTGATTTCACCCCACCTACCTCACATGGGCAACCCAGGATCACCTTACCATCTCAAGACTCCTAAAGCAAGCATATCTGTAAGGTTCTTTGTGCCATGTAAAGGAGCAGCCATGAGAACAGGGATGTGGCTGTCTCTGGGGGTAAGGGATCATCACTCTGTCCCCTATAATGACCATAGTTAGGGACAGTGTTCGGATCTGTTAGCAACACACATTTATCCAACACTTCTTTGGTACCTACTCCCTGCCAGGTACCAGATGTGGCAATGAATCACACAACATAGTCTGTGCTTCCAATCAACTCACGAATGCAAGAACTGGATATCACTCACCTCCTAAATAAATACATGGCCAACAACTATGATTAGTGCTGCACAGTGTCCTGAGAGGGATGACTGTCCTTTGGGAATAATCCATCCTCTAGCAAGCATAATCCCAGTGGAGGAGAGGGTCCTGAGAGCATGCGCAGAGGCCTGGAACCAGGCAGGGGCAGCTCATCTGGGGAACTAAATGAAGGTCTCCAGATTGCAATGTAAGAGCAAAAGGAACCATGCTGTGCGACACAGCGGGAGAGTGGGCAGGACCACTAGGCAGCTTGGAGGCTGTGGTCTTTAGACTTGATGCTGAGCACAGCTGTACGGTAAGGCTTGCCCTTTAATGAGTTCCCTCCGCCCGCCTGAGGACTGCCAAGTGGCCCCATCATGTGATAAGGAGGCTGCAGCTGACAGGTGGGAGTGATGGAGAGGTGGTTGGGATGCCAGATGTCCTCTGGAGCAGGCCAGACTTGCTGATGGCTGGCCATCCGGGAGATGGCTGCACTTCCTTCTGGACCCATTCTCTGAACCAGGGGTCCCCGGAAATGGAGCAGCCCTGGAGGTAGGGGCACTGAGTTCCAAAGGTGATCATGAGCCTAAGGTGGCTTGGAGACGTTGCAGAGGAGCTGCAGAGTGGCAATCACACTACCTGCCTGAACCTACTTCTACCTACAGGGAGAGGGAGCCACAGCCAAAGGCCTGGCCTCGCAGGCCGCTGAAGGGGATAGTGCTAGGGGTCCCTGCGCTGATTTTAAACATTTACTAGGATGGAGGGCTGGGGATTTAGCTCAGCGGCAAAAGCGCCTGCCTGGCAAGCGCAAAGTCATGAGTTCGGTTCCCGGTACCGGATAAAAACCAAAAAAAAAAAAAAAACATTTACTAGGATGGGACCCTGAGATGTTGGTCCATGGGTACCAAGTTAGAAAAGAGAAATTTTGTTGCTCTATTGCATGGGCAAAGTAACTAATAGTTAATCATAATATATTATTTCAAATTAGATAAGGGGCCCTCATGTGACATGGTTAGCTAATCCTATTTCAAATTAGCTAAGAAAGAGGCTTTTAAATACTATCACCACAAAGCAGTGATAAATATTGGATGCTAATTAGCCTGATTTGATCCTTCTACAATGAATCAAAACACCACCTTGTACCACATGAATATATATATATATATATATATATATATATACATATATATAATTATTATTTGTAGTTAAAAATAAAACTAAGCTGAGCATGGTGATGCGTGCCTGTAATCCCAACACACTTTTGTGTTGGGAAGCTGATGCAAGTGAATTCCCAAGTTCTAGCCCATCCTGAGCAATTTAGTGAGACCCTATCTCAAAATTAAAAATAAATAAATAAATAAAAAGGGCTGAGGATATAGTTTGGTGTGAAGGTCCTGGCTTTAATGCACAGTACTACTAATCAATCAATCAATCTTAAAAAAATATCCCACATATTTATTAGATCCCTTAGGTCCTGTTCAGACTATAAAATAAAGGACTGCCTGCTCCGAGCAATTAAACTCCAAGAGAACCTTGGAAATGGCCATAGCTTCAGGAAGGAATGAGTCAGGCGGGGGCGAGAAAATATGTGTCCTGGGAACCAGCATGATAGAGCCGGTCCTCAGTTAACAATGAGCTGTGGTCTGGAAAGGCAGTCAGGGCTGGTTTCCTTGTGAGGGCCACAGGGACATTTCCAGGGACAGGCCAGCTACAGCTGTGGCATAAGCTCCAGGCTGCTGGACCTTCAGCCCACTGTGCTGGTGTCGGTGTCAGAGGGGTGGCAACTAGGGAAGGCAAGATTTGCATTCATGTCATCCCACCTGCTTCTGTGAAATGTCTTGATCCCTGTTTCAAATCCAGGAAACTGAGGTTCAGAGAGGGTGTGTTCCATCCTCAAGATCACACAGTAGGAAATGGCTGAGCCATTAGAGATGAGCCCCAGGTTTTCTACAACTCGCACGGCCTTTCTTCTCAGCATTGAGAATCAAGGGAGAAAATGAGCGGGACCTGGCCCTTAGAGGCCAAAGGATGCGGGGATAATAACAAGAAAGGCTAATGGGTAGAAGTGTCCATATACTGTCCCGTATTGCACAGAACACGAAGAATAGACTCCGATGCTGAGGGTTAAGCCCGGGGGTAAGCCAGAGGAGAACGGGCATCCTGACAGCCAGATAAATCCCTCTCCTTAGCCTTCAGCACCCAAACTCTACCCCAGCGGTGGTTCGCAACTCCGGAGAGAGGTGACTAATGAAATTTCTGGGTGATTAATGAAATGGTCACCAAGGGAGAGCCCCCCGCTTCCCTTCCCAGCCGAGAGACGCTCTTCCTTGAAGCCACTCACCTTTCCCACCTGGCGAGCCTGGGCCTCTGCACATCGCTGGGGGATTGTGGGATGATGTCATCCCCTGGCAATCCTGGGAGGTGACCTCAGCTATAAGCAAGAATCCCAGGTGCGGCGCCACAGTGGTGAGCTCATCGGCGCGGCCTCAGGAGGCCTCACCCGGGCACAGGTCCCTGTCCTCCCAACCAGAATAACCAGAGCGGCCAGCTCCCTGGGCCAAAGGGCCACCCAGAACAAAGGCGCTGAGGTGCCGGCCCGCTGCGGTCCCAGGCCAGTCTGGTTATGTAAGGTCGAACTGGCTGTTCCCAGGATCCTTCCTAGGGGGCCCTGGCTGCAGGATGAATATGGTTCAATCACCTGCGCCACCCGATGAGGTCACTACGGCCGCCTTCCATGTCCAAGGCAAATGTTCCAGGCCTGCTGGCTTCCTGCTGCCCCCAGCCAGGCCACAGGCCTGCTGCCCACAGCTACTTCTCCTCAGGGGCCTGCCAAGGCCAGCCGCCCTTATGGCTAGAGCTGAACTGATTTTAAAAGGCCAAAAATCAGCCCACCTAGAAGAAAAACAAATGCTTTTTGTGACATCTCTGCAGTTTGGGGACTCTCAAAAATCTGACACCTAGCATGGGCAGTGAGAAGACCCAGTGGAGACAGTGGTGGACAGATGTGAGCTCACCTCCTGGCTCTGCCGCTTAGAAGCTAGCATGCCTGGGACAAACTGCCTCATCTCTCTAAGCCTCAGTTTCCTCATCTGAACAACAGGAGAAGCTTTCAATGAAGTTTAAAAATAGGCAAAATTTTTAAAAAATTGAAGTAATTGAGGTAATTGAAGTCAGAACAGTGGTAGAGGTTATGGGGTTATGCATGGGGTTAGGGTATGCAAGGGAATCTTGCAGGAGGTGGAAATATATTATGTCTTGATAAAGATGATGGTTTGTTGGGTACATGCAGGAAAGCTCACAAGGCCACTCCTTTCACTCTACGTAAGTCACTAAAAAGGAGGAGAGAAAATAAGGAAGAGAGAGAAGAAGGCAGAGAGGAAAAGGTGAAGAAAGCAGAGCAGGGATAGAAGTTCTGGCTACTTCGCAGGGCTGCTGGAGCACTGGTAGATAAAGCCAGAGGCTACAGGGGCCAGGGTGGCTCCACATCCCATCTTTTTCTCTCAAAGACCGGCCACAGGCTCTTCGTAAAGAGCATGTAACATCACGGGGAAATCCAAGTTGCCGGAGTTCAAATCCTGGCTCAGCCACCTCCTGGCTGATTGACGTTGGGTAAGGGGCTTTGCCTCCGCCAACCTCAATTTCCCAGATATAAATGGCGCCACCATAGTACAGCTGATCCTCTGTATCTGCAGGTTTTACATCCTTGGATTCCACCAATGATGGGTCAGAAATATCTGGTTTAAAAAAACTGAGTCTGTACTGGACATGGAAGGCTTTTCAAATCATTATTTCCCAAATGAAACTGTACAATGACTAGAGCATTCACATTAAATGAAGTGTCATAAATTGTCTAGAGATGATTTAAAGTATATGGGAGGATGTGCAGGAGTTATGTGCAAATACTAGGCTATTATACAAAAGGGGCTCAAGCAGCACTAGATTTTGCTGTCCTGGGAGTGAAGGTCCCAACCCAATGCCCAAGGATTTGTACCAGGAGTCAACTGTA